GGGCCTCATGCAGGCTCCCTTCTCCTTGCACCTGTAGGGTTAAAACAGGCTTCTCCTGAGTCTCCTTGCATTGAGGTTTATTCTCCCCAGGAGGTCCATTCTCCACATTGCAGCTAGGGTGATTTTTGTTTTTTTCAAAACGCAACTCTTAATATCTCCCCATTGCTTACAGGAAAATAAAAACAACACAGCTCCTCTGTAAAGCATAACAGAACCTCCAGATTCTGCCCTGTCATGTCTCCATTTTCCTGTGTCATACTTCATACAATAGCCATACTAAGCTTTTAGAGTTTTTCATATCCAAGAGGCTATTTCTCACCTCCAGGTATTTTCTTGTGCTATTTATTTATTTATTTACCTATTTACTTATTTTGAGAGGGATTCTCGCTCTGTCACCCAGGCTGGAATTCAGTGGCATGATCTTGGCTCATTGTAACCTCTGCCTCCCAGGTTCAAGCAATTCTCCTGTCTCAGCCTCCCAGGTAGCTGGGATTATAGGCACCCACCACCACACCCAGCTAATTTTTGTATTTTTAGTAGAGATGGGGTTTCAACTTATTGGCCAGGCTGATCTCAAACTCCCGACCTCACGTGATCCACCTGCCTCAGCCTCCCAAAGTGCTAGGATTACAGGCGTGAGCCACCATGTCCGGCCTTCTTGTGCTCTTTCTACTGCCCTTGGTGATGCCTTTATGTTTTAGTCAGGGTGAGCTAAGTTATGCTGCAAAGACAAACATCCCCTAAATTTTACTCTACATGCCCAAAGTTGCAACTGGGAGCAGGAGTTGTGGGGGAAATATCTGTTCATTGTAGTCACTCTATGACTCAAACTGATAAAGCTTTCTTCTGTCGTCACAGCAAGAAGAAAAGACCATGGCAAACCATTTTCTATCTCTTAATCACTTCATTCAACTTTCCGTTGACCAAAGCAAGTTTGGAGAGGCATGGGAATGCAATCATACCCTAGCTTAGAGAGTAGGGAGAGACAGCAATATTTGGATCAAGAGATCTAATGATTTTTACATTTTCATGATTTTTTTCATGCACTCTTTCTGCCTGGTAAATAAATCTACACTTTTTGGCACATCCCAAGTGCCTCCTCCAGGAAGACTTCTTTACATATGCTTCCCTCATGGACTACACCATATCTGCACTGGTTTAATCAGGCTCTTTCTCCTTTGCTACATGGGACACTTCTTTAGGGCAGGCACCACATTTCACTCATGTCTGTATTTCTTGGGTCTAGCATAGTGTCTGGAGAGAGGTAGAAACCAAGTACCTCACATTGCAGGAATGAGTGTTTTGGTATGTGGCTCCACATATGGCTTCCCAAGTCCATGTACCCCAAAGTTTCCTGGAAGCTGGTGGGGATGGAAGGAGAGGTGAGAGCACTCCTGGGGTTCTAGAGTCTGCTGAGCTTCCCCTCAGATGTCGGCAACTCCAAAGACAACTCAGATGTCAGGCTGTAGACACAAGGCAGTCACTGCATTTTCCCCTCTTCACCAGCCTTTCCAATCTGAGTATATTTTATTCATTTTTGCTTTTATTTAATTTTTCTTCTTTTGGCCTCATTACCCTGGCCAGACCTCTAACATATTAGAGGTTAAATAGAAGTAGTGAGGGTAAATATCCTTCTTCTAGATCTCAAGGGAGAAGCTTTCAGTTTTTAAAACCATTAAGTAGGGCATTATCTGTGAGGCTTTCATAGACAAACTTGATCAAGTTGAGAAACTGCTATTTCTAATTTGTTGACCTTTTTCATAATGACAGTTTACAGATTTTGTCAAATGCTTTTTCTGCATTTATTGAGATCATCATGTGGTTTTTGTTAATCAGCATGTCTCTAGATATTGAAAAGTGTCCTCTGGGGGGCAAAATCACCCCCAGTTGAGAGTCACTGCCTTCGAGGACTGAATTAAATAGCACATGCAGAGTGCCCATTTCAATGTCTGGGACTTAATGGACACATGATAAAAAGTGGGCTATTTTGATTCTTAGCCTCCCCTTGGATACTGGTCAGGGCCTGAAGGAAAGTGTGAGTTTGGGAAAGGATGGAGCTGCCCATATTCCTTGGAGGTCTCCTCCATGACTTCAGCTTCAGAAATTTCAGTGCTGGACAGGGCCCAATGAAGACAAGCAGATTCAACCACCTAATGTATATTCCATTAGGCTGAATTCTGCCAGCCCCTCCCCAAGGCCCATTCAGAAAAAAATCAGGCTGAACATTATGGCTTCTCTAGGATGCTGCTGGATCAAGAGTCCATGGCTCATGTCTGTCCTTGTCTTGGCTCAAAGGGCCCCTGGCCAGGTCTAGCTCATATGTTCAAACCTGAAGCTGTCAATGCCCTTCTTTAGCATGGGATGAACCCCTGAGCATTGTAACAGGTGAGTTGAGAAGTGGAATTAATCAAAACCTTAGATATCAGGTGCTTTAAATGCAGTATATCTAATCCTCATAACAGTCTTTCCAAGGGGACACTTATGCTCATTTTACTGATAAGGAAACTGAGGATCCAAGAGGTCAAGTGATGACATAGCAATAAATGACCATGTAGGTGATTAGAACTTACAGCCTGAATCCAAAGGTAGGAATATAACTTCCACTGAACCATGTTGAGTCACAAACACATGCATATATCACACACCACATGCACACACTCACACCACATATACACACCCCCCACACCTGCTGCTTCATGGAGCACTCTAACTACACATTTTCTTGAAAGGCAGATGGACAGGGAGTGCAGGCATGTAATCTTCAAAGAGTGGCATTTGCAGAATTTTGTGTCTACCTGCAGACAGGTAGTGGTGCTGCCACTGAATTCTCTGTATCTAACTCAAAAGAGGTGTATCTTGGGCCAACCTAGAAGAAATGAGAGATTCAATACATTTCTGAGCAGGAAAGGCAACAACAACAGTGAGAGGTGGGGCAGCAGGAGGAGTCTTCACACAAACAATGAAGAGAGACTATTCCCTTCTTTATTTAGTCTCCCACTGACAGTAATATTTCTTGAGTGTCCACTAAGCACTGAGGATGTGGAATAAGAGAAGACAGGGCCTCTGGCCTCAGGAAACTCTGGGGACAGGGCAGAAAACAGATGCTCACAAACAAGCAAGTGACCATCATTCAAGTGACAACATGTACAAGTCCTGTAGGAGCCAACCCAGAGGCAGGTTCCCCATATCCATTTGTCCTAGTGCTGGTTTTTCCCCCTCTCCCTGGTATGCCCTGCAGAGTCTGGTCAACTTCTCCTAATCATCAGCATTTAGCTCACATGGCAACTCCCAAGGCACCTTGTTATTTATCCCAACTAGACAGACTAGGTAAGCCTTCCCTATGTCCACACTCAAAGTGCCCCAATGTGTGAATGGCGAAAACGGTCACAGCTGTGGACAATGAGCACAGACTAGCCACCAGCTCCATGAGGGCACAGGGTGCATCTGTTTGCTCAATGCTTTCAGGTAGAAGCCAGTAGACAGAAGCCATCGAAGCATGACAAACGGGGAATTGAGATGATCATATCTAGAAAGATTGCTCTGGCCACAGGATGGAGAATGGATTACAAGAGTCCAGACCAAAGGCAGTACTGGAAGGCAGGAAGAGAAGCCTGCTGCAGGAAACCAGTGGCCGGGTGGCAAGCGTGTGCACATGTGAGGAAAGGCGCATATTAGAGAGATTTGAGAGGTCAGGTTGAAAGAAGCCACTGAGAACAGGAATAAGAGAAGAGGGAGTTTTAGGATGGGTAACCTGGCTTCTCCCTGAGACAAAGGATGAAGTGTGTTCTATGCCCACATGACTAAAGGTTCTCCATTTTCAGAGAGATGAAGGAAGAAAGGAGCAATTAAATGTTCAGCTTTGCCTCTCTTGAGGAAATAAACAGAAATGGACGCTCCCGACCGTGGATGATTGAATGAATGTACAGGCGAATTACAAATGCCTTCAACGTCAGAGCAAAAAGAAATATGAAAGGGCTCATGATCCCAGGCTTCTCCACTCCAACCCCTCCCTTCTCATACCAAGCTGCTTGGCATTTATCTGTCCCACTGGAGCCTGTTATGTGAGTGACTCACTCAGGAAGGACTCAGTTAATGCACAGGTTCTATGAATGTCCATGCCACAAAGAGGTAATAGTACCCAAAGCATCGCAGGCTATATTCAGATCAACCTATTTCTATTAAGCACCTCCACCTGGACTCTGTGCTGAGTACTAAGCTCTGAGATGCAAGAAGACAATGGTGAATAAGATCTGCAGCATGAGCACTCACAGCTGTGGCTCAGGTAGAGGTTTTAAATAAAACCAACACGGCAAGAGGTTTTAAATAAAAACCAATGCTCAGAATGCATTTAAAATGTTCCAGGATCTGTTCTAATACTTTCCCTGTGCTAGCTTGATAAATCCTCTCAAAACCTTCAGATGTAGAATTTTCTTGTTCTTTGTCTTTTGCTAATAAGGACAATGAAATTCTTGTCCAAGATTTTGTACATCTTAGCAATGGAGCTGGGGTAGAACCCAGGTAACCCAGTCCCAGAACTTGTTTATGTGACCATCACACTATCTCACTGACATGATAAGCTGACATTTTTGGACTGCTTCTTATGTGCTAGCCACACTATTGCATGCAATTGACATCTGTTCCTCACAGTACCTCTAGGAGGAGAAATAGTGGACAGGACCGTGAGTCCTACCATGCAATTTTATGGGATCAGCTTCCAATTCCAGCACTCACCAGCCATGTGACATGGCCAAGATTTTTTTTTTTTTTTTTTTTTTTTTTTTTTTGGAGATGGAGTCTCGCTCTGTCGCCCAGGCTGGAGTGCAGTGGCGCAATCTCAGCTCATTGCAAGCTCTGCCTACCGGGTTCATGCCATTCTCCCACCTCAGCCTCTCGAGTAGCTGGGACTACAGGCGCCTGCCACCATGCCCAGCTAATTTTTTGTATTTTTTAGTAGAGACAGGGTTTCACCATGTTAGCCAGGATGGTCTCAATCTCCTGACCTTGTTGTCCACCCGCCTCAGCCCCACAAAGTGCTGGGATTACAGGTGTGAGCCACCGCGCCTGGCCGACACGGCCAAGTTTTTAACTTCCCTGTACTTCAATTTCCTAATCTGTAATAGGAGATAATTATATGCCAACTTTGAAGGCTATTGAGAAGATTTAATGAGTTCACACATTTAAAATGATGAAAGTGTAGCTGTCACAAAAGAAAAGCTTTTGTTACAGAAGGGAATGTGAGACCTACTAAGGTTACTTGCACTGCCCACCATTTCACAGCTGGTAGGTGACGGAGAATGACTCCTACCAGAGTGTTCAAGGTCACTACCAGGGTGTTTACATGCTGCATCTTGCAGACCCAGAAGTTGATATAAGGGATGAGTGAAGAGTGAATAAATGAATGAACTAAACAGAGGGTTTTGGTACCTATTGTACTGTACCTGGACAATTTCACATTTGTTATTTCCTTTGACAATAAATTACCTGGAGTTTAAGGACTACTATCCCTTTTAGAGAATAAAAAACAACTAAGACTCAGAGGAGAAAAAAAAATCAATCCACGCCACGACACCCCCTCTCCCCAGCATCGCCTCAGTAGACTGACCAGGATTCAATCCCAGGTTCTTGACATCAAGGTTAATGTTGTTTCTTCTTTATCACCAGAACAAGCCAAGAACTGGTGCAAATCTAAAACAGATGCTTCCCTCTGCAAAAACTCCTCTTAGAGAAGTGGAACCAGGGTGAATTGCGAGGTGATATCCTGCCTCTGCTGATTTCCAATCAGAATGGGGGCCTTTGGGCACATTAATGAATTATCTGAACCTTGCGTTCTTTCTTGTAAAACATGCATAGCAAAACTCATCTTCTTGGCTTATTGGGAGGATCAATGAGAAAATGCAGCACAACATGTAGCATCAGACCAGACACACAGGGGGCATTTAATAGACTGTAGTTAATTAATGTCACCATATATTAATAACTATAAGTGTATTAATTAATAATGATCTCAGCTTGGAAGCTGAGCAAAGTAATGAGGAAACTGGGGCCTGATGGAAACACAGATAGGTCTGCCCTTCACAGCCCCCAAAATACTGTGAGAGCTCCAGGGGGTCAAAGTCAGTTTGGTCAAGGTGGTATCTTTTTCCATTACTCTCCATGCAGCCTGTTGAGATAGTACCACTGGGATGAGGGTGTACTCAGTATCCGGATCACAGCTGTAAATCCAGAAGTGAAGGGGAATATCCTTAGAGAGGCAGAACCGCTATCATGAAACCCTTGCACTAAGGTTTCTCCACCTAGACTATCAAAATATACTGCCACAATCTGCTCACGACTACAGCAGACCTTTCATGTCGGTTAGAATGCTTGGGGCTGCAAGCAGAAGAACCTTCAACTAAAAATGGCATAAACAGTCAGTGGTATAACCTCATAGGACAAGGAACTTGGGGAAAGAAGGCTCCTGTGTTAATTCGCCAGCTCACGATCTCGTCTGAGCCCTGAGACTTCACCTTTCCACTGTGCCATCTTCAGCAGGTGGGCCATGCTGCCCTCATGGTTTTGAGACGGCTTTCAGAGCCATCCTTGCACAACCTGTCCAAAAGCAAAGAGAGGAGAATTACTATCTTATTTTTTGGAAAACCAGGAATACCTTCACAAAAGCATCCAAGCAGAATTCCCTCCATGTCTCCTCCTCTGGGGCTGTGTCACATGGTCCTACCTAACTCAAGACCCAACAAGGGAAAATAAATTACTATGAGTACCATGGAAGGAGGGTCACCCCTTCCAAAGGTGGGGTTAACACTTGAGCACAATCAAGCTCATCCACAAGGAATAAGCAGGATGATGGACCACTACAGTGGAAGCTATAATGATTCACTCTCTCATTCCAGCCCCCCAGGACCCTGTAAGGTAGGAAGAATCAGGGGTTTGTTTGTCCACTTCACCTATAATGGAGCTGAGACTGATATTTTAGTGGTGTCCTTGGCAGCTGATGCACCTCACTTCAAGTCCAATGTAAATTCTTTTCCCAGGTGGCTTTGAACAGGCAGATGCCTACATGACACAAGTTCAAGTTGGATTCATGTGCAAACACAAGGGCAACAGGTATGAGACTCTTAATTGAAATCATGTTATCCAGTTCCTCTTTAAAATTTAACATCCAAGGCAGGTGCAGTGGCTCCCACCTATAATCCCAACAATTTGGGAGGCTGAGGAGGCAGGATCACTTGAGTCCAGGAGTTTGAGACCAGCCTAGGCAACATAGTGAGACCTTCCTCTCTACAAAAACAAAAATAAATTAGCCAGGTATGGTGGCGTGAAACTGTAGTCCTAGCTACAATGGAGGGTGAAGTGGGAGGATCACTTGAGCCTGGGAGGTTGAGGCTGCAGTGAGCTTTGAATGTACCACTGCACTCCAGCCTGGGTGGCAGATTTTTTCTCAAAAAAATAATAAACATAAAATACAAAGCTTAGCATCTGTGTCATCAAAATACGTCAGGCTCAGCAATAATCTCTGGGTAGATAGACATAGGTCTTGAGCGTCATCTAATCTGTTTTGCAGGCAAGATAGCAATGCTGACCTGGCATAGGTCCAGCTTTAACATAATTCTCACAGTTAATGGAGAGACAAGTCCATCACAACTGTGGATCTCAAAGCCCTTTCCATATGGTCTGCCACCCTGTGCTCTGTCAACATCATGTGATGACAGGAAACATCTTTGAGAGATGCAAGGAATCATAGCACTGAACATTTCCTCTCTCAAAGCCCAGCCCTCTGCTCTGGGGTCTCAGTACTGACCGCAGAGGCAGAGCTCACTGTCTTGCCTCTGATAGTGTTACTACTGATCAAAAAGAAAAAAACATCAATAGTAAACTATATGATAAAAAAAAAAAATGGCCCAACCTGTGAAGGTTAAGAAAAGAAACCCAAAACACCTCTGAGAGCCTCCATCCAGAGGCTCTTAGCCTCCCCTGGCTTTCCCAAAACACCCGTGGATCCCTTCACAGAATAATGTTTGTAAATGCATAAAACAAAATACACAGGAATACAGAGCTCCCAATTAAACTGCAATATGCTCATCAAAATAGTTTATTTATTTTTATTTTATTCAATTTTTCCTTTTTTTGAGATAGGGTCTCACTCTGTGGCCCAGGTTGGAGTGCAGTGCCATGATCATAGTTCATTGCAGCCTCAAACTCCTGGGCTCAAGTGATCCTCACACCTCAGCCTCCCAAGTAGCTGGGACTACAGGCACACACCACCATGTTCAGCTAACTTTTTAAAATTTTTCATAGAGGCAGGGTGTTGCTACATTGCTCAGGCTAGACTCAAACTTTCGGCCTCAAGTGATCCACCTACTTTGGTTTCCCAAAGTGCTCAGATTACAGGCATGAGCCACCATGCCCAACCTTTCAAACTAGTTTAAAAAGAAATTGGTAAAAGGACAACATATGGGCTCTCTAGTAACAGATTCTATAATAAGAACTAATGGGGAGTCTGATAAGGGCTGTGTTTATGAAAATGATGAGCATCTTTTTCTCCTATGGCAAAAATCTCTGTGATATCAACTAATGACAAATTCATAGACACCGCTGAGGGGACTCTGCTTTGTGCCTATATTCACGATTGAAGCAAATCCTAAATACTGGTTAAAACTTAGGCAAAATGAAGATGGATTTTTATTCTTGCCTCTAATAGGTCAAACGGTGGCCCCACCACCAGTATGTCCATCTCCTAATCTCTGGAATCAATGAATGTAAGCTTCTTGGGGGAAAAAATGTGGTCTTTGCAGACAAATAAGTTGAGGCTCTGGAGATGAGAGCATCCTGGATTACCCAGGTGGGCCCTAAATCCAATGACAAGTGTTGTTATGAGAGATGAAAGGGAAGATACAGAGAACAGGAAAAGGCCATGTGAATATGGAGACAATGTGACCAGCAAGACAGAAATTGGAATGATGTGGCCGGGCGTGGTGGCTCACGCCTGTAATCCCAGTACTTTGGGAGGCCAAGGCAGGCAGATCAAGAGGTCAGGAGTTTGAGACCAGCCTGGGTAACAAGGTGAAACTCCATCTCTACTAAAATTACAAAGAAAAATTAGCCGAGTATGGTGGTGCACACCTGCAATCCCAGCTACTCGGGAGGTTGAGACAAGAGAATTGCTTGAACCCAGGAGGGGGAGGTTGCAATAAGCCAAGATCGTGCCATTGCACTTCAGCCTGGGTGACAGAGCAAGAGTCCCTCTCAAAAAACAAACAAACAAAAACAGATTAAAAAAGAAAAGAAAAAAAAAGGAATGATGTGGCCAAGGAAGCCAAGGAACACCTGTAGCCACAAGAAGCTGGGCAAGGTGTTCTTCCTGCAAGCCTTTGGAGAGAGCACAGCCCTGCCAATGCCTTCATTTAGGACTCTGGCCACTAGAACAGTGCGAGGATAAGTCCCTGTTGCTTTAAGCCACACAACTTGCAGCCATCTGTTACACTTAATGCACCATCCAAGTGTGTGGATATCCCAAATCCTAGGTTAAGGACCCTGTCTGGTACCACCTTGTCTCCCATTCACTCTACACATATTTGTCAAGGGCTTACCTTGTTCCAGGTTCACTTGCTGGCACTGCGGATGGGGCAGAGAGCCAAGCTGCAGATCCTGTGCTCAGGGAACTTTCATTTCAAAGGAGCGGGTGACAGAAAATAAACAACTGCATAATTAACAAACCTAATGTCAGGGAGTGATAAAGGCCTTGAGAAAAAATAAAACAGTGATGTATTCAGATTAATTGATGGAGGAATCCTAGATGGGGTGGTCAGGGAAGGCCTTACTGAGGACATGACCATTTTGCTGAGATTTAAATGGTAGGAAGTCATCTACAAAGGGTGGGGGGAAGGGTTTTCTACAGAAGGAAGGTGCAAAGGCCCTGAGGCTGGAGTGTGCTTTGATGACGAGAGTGAGGGACGGTGGAGGAGGGGCCATCACAGAGGCGCAGACCACTGGGGTGTTGTTCTGGGATCTCCTGAGATGAAAGTCTGTAGGCAGGGGCGTGATCGGGCAGTGCTCTTGGGACTGTCCGTTTGAAAGGGAGTCAAAGGGAAGTAGAAGTCTAGCAGAGAAGCCAGGCTGCCGTGCATTCACAAGAGAGGTTTCTGCCAGTCCCTCAGGGAGCATGGAGCTGGGATGGCCTGCAGAGGTATCAGGCCAGGAACTGGGCCTGACACATGCACGGGTGTGTCCCCAGCTGGCTGCTCCCTAGAGACGGGAGGACCTTGGATGAAGGACTCTTTGTTTCTGAGGAGCACCCACTCCAGCAGCTGGGAGACAGGGGGCTCAGTCCCGAAGGAGAGTCACGCACCGCAGCACCTACTACAGGCCTGGAACACATTGGCAAGGAGTTTGGGTTTTACAGCTTCACATGTGGGGAAAATGAGGCTCAGGAGGCTGATGAGTCTCCTGAAGTCGCCCAGCAGGCTGGGGGCAGAGACAGGGCTCAGTGCCTTGCTTCCTGGATCGGTATCCCTTCCATTACCCCACAATCCTTCCTAGAGTCATTATGTAAAATGTTGCTTCACAATCTGATGCTCTAAGCTTCCCAGGGCCAGGCCACCTCCACAAAAGCCTTGCTAGTAGTCGTCTCTAAGGAACTGTCTTGATCCGCCCCTCCATGAGACCTCAGCAGGGCTGGAGATGCACATGTGTGTACATCAGTGCACTTGTGCACACACGAATGCACACATGCGTGCACACAGGGGCATGCAAAGCATGTAAATTCGCATATGCGTGCACACACACTTCAATACCTGTGCATTCCCTCCACTTCTGTATCTCTGGTAAAGCAAATTCTTCAGCCTTCTCCCGCAAGTGGGTGATTCATTATACCCCCCAGCAGTCATCAAGGGAGGTGCCGCCACACTTCGAAGAAATCACCTGAAGACAGATAACCTGGCATGTGTGATTCCTTCTCAGTAGATAACATCCTGCAGGGGCCCGAGGCACTCAGATGAGATGTCACTTTCTCCAAAGAGAAAACGCATTTTGCACACATTTCGGGTTTTAGTTTACCAGCACTGGCCAATGAGTGACTTTGGATTCTAATAACACTCTCATCTTCATACACTCTGAGGGCAGCCAGTCAAAGCAAGCCTGGTGCCTTTCAGGGCCTGGAAACAGACCAGACAAGATTTAAATGACCTCTCAGAATATCAGAAAAGGCCCTGCTAGAGCTCACCCCCACTTTCCAGTGCATTGTGAATCTTTACACTTACCCTTCAAGTTATGTTTTAAAGAAAGCACGCACATGCTTAGGGTCAATTTCACAGTCTTGCCAATGCTCTTAATGAGGTGAGTGGATAATGAAGGCAGTTCATGCAGTCAATGCCCTCTCGACTTCGAAGCCAAAAACTGGACCTAGCTGCTCCATCTACCAGCTGCGTCTCCTTGGGTTTATCACTTAACCCCTAAACCACATCCACGAAACAAAAATCACAATCCAGGTTTTGCATTTGTCCTGAAGACCAAGTGACACTTTATATAAATGTGGCTTTCAAACCCTAACTCCAGTGTCCCTTTCAGGAACTGTTGTAATGAGGTGCAGGTAGGATATAGCATGAGCTGCTCAGAAGACACCCCACAGGCAGAAGCAACAGGTGTGTCCTGGGACTCCGGCTTTGTGTCTGGGGCTATACCTTCCCTCCAGGTCCACAACCGAGAGCCAGTGAACCCTTGGAATCTGGTTCCACAAGTTTGCTGAGTGACTCTAGGCAAGTGACCCACCCTTGACCTCAGTTTCTTCATCTTCTATAAAATGCTATCTGCCCTACCCGTCTGTCATTCCAAGTTCTGTGGTTGGAATTAAAGACTCCAGCCTGGAAAAGTGTCAGCCTGCTGGATAAGGTCTCTCATGGCTCACACTTGCCTCCATCCCGGCTGCCGCTGCAGCTTAGAGCATCAGATTGTGAACCAGGACGCTGCCGTGGTTCGGGGGCGTCTGCCTGGGCTTCGTGTCTGGACCACCCCCGTCAGCCTCCCCACCCTCACCCAATCATCCCTCAGGAATGGTGAAGCAGTCCATCAGAGGTCTAAATTCTCGCGCATCATTTACAAACTCAAAAACTGCCACGGGCCCTCAAAAATGTGAAGAAAAACCTCCCTGGTACTAGAACCACCTCGTATAGTAGGGAAAAGTGCAGAATCTTGAGCCAGGCTGCCTAGCTTCAAACCCCATTTTCATCAGTTACCAGCTGTGTGACTTCGGGCAAGCTCATTCTCATCTCTGTACCTTACTTCCTTTACCTATAAAGGGAAGACGATGCTGAGGAAGGCAAGAGTACTTACTTAATGGGAGACTTTGTGCAGATTATGTGAAGTGCTGATCAGTGGCCCATTGCAAACCCTCAGTAAGCCATATTCTCATCGTGATGGAATCTTCCATGTCACACTTTCTAGTGCCAAAGACCACACTGCATCTGAGATCAAATAAACAAATGTCATTTATCCATAAAATTGCAGCAAGGGGGTAGCCTGCTGTCACCTTCGTTTCAGCAGGGGTTCAAAGGTGTTAGAAAGGAGAGTCAGTTTTATAGAATAAAAACAGGAAATACCGAGGTAATCTTGGATTGATGAGTATACTATTAAGGCAGGATTTTTAGCTGAGAGGAGACATCCTAATAGGTCCTCAGGTAGATTCAGCCACCCTTAGCTGCAAGGGCAGGCAAGCAGCTCCTCAGTTTCAAAAGAGGAAGGATTGTTCAATATTAGGGCGAAGGGTTTCTGTGGCTAACCGTTTCCTGAAACAGATCGCGGGGTAGATGGGGTACTTTTTTGTGGTCAAACTGCATAACTATTGGTGTGGGGGTCACCATGGCAGGCAGTTTTCACACCCCCCAGGCCCTCTGACCCCAAAGAACACTTGTAATGTGGCCACAGGGCCCCCGGTAGCTGCCTGCCACTCTCTAGCTCTCCCTGTCACCCACATCCCCCCCGCCCGCCCATTCTGCTCTTCCGCCTACCTGGATTCACAGGCTTCCCTGAAACTGCATGAGCCGTCCCACACTGAGGGCTTCCACAGCACCAGCCCCACTCCACCCTGATCCTGTTATCCCTTGGGGATGCTGTTCCTGACCTTCTTCCCCAGGGAGACCTCCTCTGAGGACACCTCTGCCCTTGGTCTGGGGTTGGCCAATCTATACTCCTAGCACTGGTTCTGCTTCTCGCCTTGCCCCCATGGCACCGTGTGTGTACATCTTTACTCCTCACCTCTCATCTTCTGCACTTGAGCTTCTGGGGGAAAGACTTTCTCACACCTCTGCAAGGTTCAGTATCTAGCATGGTAGGTTTGTAAGAGATGTTGACGGGATATAGGAAGGTGTTCATGCATGAATGACTGATGTGGTTTCCACGGTCGGTCTCAAAGGTGAGTAGAACTTTACCAAGGAGAGATGGACAGTAGAAAATAAGCCCCTGTGCATAGGGATTTAGTCTGCTTTGCTCACCTCCTATTCCAGGGTCTAGAATGACTTCTGCATATTTGACTCTAGACAAGTATGTAGCATTGGGTTGGACAAATGGCAGGAAGCCACTCTTCTCCTCCTTTCCCAGATACTAAGTGAATGAAGAGGCCTAGCCCACAGACGGATTTCAGCAGTGATGCTTGTCACAGTGAAAGCTTCCCAACCACCAAAGCTTGGAGCCCCAGGTAACTCTAAGAACATGCCAAGACTTCATCCAGACTAGAACCTGGGTTCTCAAAGCATCAACCATGTTTATAACATTCCCAGACTCTTTCTGAAATTCTCAAGGAAATGGCCCTTGGATACACTTCTGGTTGATGCGCCTCCCACGTTATCTGAGTTTCATAAATTGAGGCTGAGTCCTCTCATTTCCCAAGGCATGGGTACTAGGGAGCATGTGTGTATGTGTGAGAGAGATGGAGTTGGTATGGAGAGAGAGAGAAAAAAATGAGTCACTATTGAGGAATGAAACACTGGTTATTAATGTAAAATATTCAAATTCCACACTCTTAATTTGTCACAAACCTTTCTCCTTGGGGTCTGACATTTTGAAAGATAATTATTTCTTCCATTTGTTAAATTGGCCCTTTGGCATAGTAGCCTTTAAGTTTATTTTAATGGGATCACTCCAAAATCTGCTTCTACAACTGTGACCACCCTCTTATGTCTTCCCAGTATGCTCACCTAATGTCCACTTAAGTATTCACATTTGTCAGACCATGGCCTTTTGATGTTTTGCTTTTGGTTCAGAAATGTGATTCCTGTCACTGCAACCAGTTTCTCAGTCTTGCCCACTGGCCACCTTGCCAAGTAAATTGTCCTCTTGTCATTCCTTTATAACTACTTCTGCTAGATTTCATCATATTCTATAAAATACTCTTTTATAGTCATGCAACATGCAAACTATGCATGGTTCTGGGTAATCCAGCTTCTTTGTACTGACGATAATGAAGATGAAGATAGTAACGATGTGTGTGTTAGGCAGAATGACCCCCAAAGATGTCCACTTTCTAGTCATTTGATCCTGTGAATATGTTACAGACCTGACAAAAGTGACTTTGCAGATGTGATTAAGGTTAAGGGCCTTGAGATTGGAAGATCAGCCTAGGTTATCCAGGTGGACCCACTCTAACCTCAGGAATCCTTAAAAGTGGAGAACTTTTCCCAGTTGTGGTCAGAGAAAGAGGCATCACAACAGAAGCCAAGTCAGGGAGGTGCAACATTGCCGACTTTAAGAGGGAAAAGGGGAACCTGAGCCAGGGAACATGGGTGGCCTCTAGAAGGTGGACAATACAAGAAAATTGATTTTTTTTCCTAGAGCCTCCAGGAGGAACCCAGCCAGGCTGACACCTTGTTTTTAGCCCAGTGGGACCCATTAGGACTTCTGAACAACAGAACTATAAGACAATATATTTGTGTTGTCTTGAGTCACTGCCTTGGTATTCATTTATTACAGCAGCAAGAGGAAACTAATAGAGTGATGATGGTAATAGCATGCCTGATGGATTAAGAATTGTTTCCAGCCAGGCCCAATGGCTCATGCCTGTAATCCCAGCACTTTGGGAGCCAAGGCAGGTGGATCACGAGATCAGGAGATCAAGACCATCCTGGCTAACATGGTGAAACACCATCTCTACTGAAAATACAAAAAATTAGCTGGGCATGGTGATGGGTGCCTGTAGTCCCAGCTACTCAGGAGGCTGAAGCAGGAGAATGGCATGAACCTGGGAGACGGAGCTTGCAGTGAGCTGAGATCCACCACTGCACTCCAGCCTGGGTGACAGAACAAGACTCCGTCTCAAAAAAAAAAAAACAAAAAAAGAATTGTTTCCATGGGTTATGCAACGTGCCAAGCACTTCATACATCATTTCTCATTTAATCGTCACAATCACCCTGACAAAGCAAGGACTCTTATCGTCCACACTTTACAGAGGCGGAAATTTAGGCTTGGGGAGATTAAGTGACCTACCTAAAGTCTCATGGCTTGAGTATGAGAAAGTCAGAATTCATACTAATTTCTTTTAGACTCTAAGACTCAGATTTTGTCAATCAGAGAGCTCTGGCTGGGATGGGTTTCCGGTGTGTATCTTCTTCTCTTATTTTAACTGAAAGCCATAGGAGGGTGTCTGTTGGTGCCAAAGTATTTTAACCCCATGTTAACACCAGTTAGGAAACTGTTGAGTAATGTTACTTCCCAGATAAGCCAAGATTTTAGAGATGCGCTTGTTATGGGACTGCAATTATTGTTTCCATGACACAGGGTCAAATCTCCACCCAAGCTTACAAAGCTCAAGTTTCATTTATTATTCAGGGTTCTTTGAGTACAAGCAACAGAAACTGATCTTAGCTAACATACAAAAAATATTGGAATTGGAATTGGAATATATTGGAAAGTACAATTGACTATAAGTAACTTAAAAGGAGAAGGAATATATTGGAAAGTACAATATGCTTTTTTTTTTTTTTTTTTTCTGAGACAGAGTTTCACTCCATTGCCCAGGCTGGAGTGCAGTGGCACAACCTTGGCTCACTGAAACCTCTGCCTCCCAGGTTCAAGTGATTTTGTGCCTCAGCTACCCAAGTAGCTGAGATTACAGGCATGTGACACCATGCTTGGCTAATTTTTGTATTTTTCGTAGAGATGGGGTCTTGCCATGGTGGCCAGGCTGGTCTCAAACTCCTGGTCTCAAGCCATCCTCCTGTTTTGGCCTCCCAAAGTGCTGGGATTGTAGATGAGCCACCTGCCCAGCCTACAATGGACTTTTGTTGATTTTTTTGGCTGCCTGTTGTAATTCTCTCACACTAATAATTGCAGCAGCCCTCAGCTGTCACTTGTGGATCCATCCACCCACAGTTCTCCATCCACATGGTTCTGGTGGTGCTGACTTTACCCCCATGCCTGGGCTGCAGCATAAGCCCTCTGTCTAAAAAAATTGGTACAATCCTTCTTCCTGGCTTTAGTGATGGGTTCAAGGAAGAGCAGCTGACTCAAGACAGAGGGAAGACAATTTAACCCTAGTCCAGTAACCCTGCATTTGCCCTTTTCCATGAGGTCTGATCCTGGAAGGATGCAGGAAGGAGCTACTGCAACCATTTTGCCACCATGAACGCAATACCTGTGTAGATAATGGAGCCAATGTCACAGGAGGCTCAGTCAAGAGATGATGGAAGGGAAAAACCAAACCCCAACTCAACATCTATGTCTGGAATTTTTAGTTATTTGAGCCAATACATTTATGTTTCAAGCCAGGTAAGAGCTGCATTTTCTGTTCACTGCAGTCCTTTAAGAGCTCTCGGGTAGCAGGGGATTGCTTCTAAGATGCATGCAACCAGCTGTGGTTGATTGTCTTCTTCTCGTTCTTTCTGTTTTTGTCTTATTTTGTCAAGATGCAAAGCCCCAAGAGATTCCCTACTAGGTCTAATTTCAAGTCTGAGCCCGCCCTTTGCATATGGAGGGTAAGTACCTTCATGCATAATTCCCCAATGGGAAACCGTTTTCCAAAAAGAAATTAAGTTTGCTGTTGATTCCATAAAAAGTGACAGCTGAAAATACAATTATTACAATACCAAGAAGAAACAATGCTACAACTTCTGCCCCTTCCAAATTGCCCTCTCTTGGAGTTAGTTTGGCCAATCTTTGCCTCCCATCCCAAATTGGACGCTGGAGTGCCTTGTCCACATATCTCTGTGTGTGGGGTCTGTTTTATATCTGGGCTCCCTGTCTAACAACTCCCTCGACCCCATCCTGCCAGGCCAAGCACATTCTTTCTTCCCAGAAATGTGCCTCTTATCGCTACCCCTGTCCATCACTGGAGGCTGCCAGGAGCCGTTTTATGCAATAGCCAGAGTCTTGCACAATCCAGAAGTAAAGATTGATGGAGGGGAGTTATGGGCCTTGAGTCCATTTGTTCCTGTTCTCAGGGCTCTTTGTCCCTGTAAATCCAGGGTTTCTATGACAAATGTTTATGGCTCACACAGCCCGACCTGCAAAAGGGAATTCCAACCCCCTACTGCCTAACAATGTCCACCCCCTACTTTGCAAATCTGAGGCCTTGGCCTGGGCCAGAAAACACTAGGTAGAATATGCAAAGCTGTTAATTCAAGTGGTGACTCAGGTCACGAGTGACCGGCATGTCACTTTCCTCCATGTTCATGATGCCTCTAAGACTCTGCCGGCAGAGATCTGGTCCTGCCCTCAATGCACTGTGGACCCTCTGGA